CTGGAATTCAGCGTGGGCTGCTGTTTGCTTCTCTCTCTTGTGACCAAGTTTGTTCTAAGAGCAAAGGCACAAACGTCTCAGTTGTAACAGCCTCCTTCTGGTGCCTGCATTTTTGCAGCGTGGGAATCTACTACGCGCAGGATTCTGTTGCTTAGGAATCGAACACGCTGCAGTATGTGCATGCCTTAGGGCAAGCAGCCAACCTTCAACTCTAAACCCGAATCCCTAATCCTTAAACCCTAAACCCTAAATGACAGTTTTTCATTTAATTTTCCATTATCCCAATATATCCCCTATATATCCCCTATATACCCTATATAGCCCAGTATAGTTACCCTAAACCCTGAGCCCCTAAACTTTTCCGTCCATGGCGGTCCCTCCTCCGACTGGCTGCGAAAGCTTCCGCCTCGGGCCGCCTTTACCAAGTGTGCCGGAGCCATCTGTGAGGCTTGACCTTGGGGGTTCCCAAAATTAGGGGGGAATATAGGAATCATATAGGGGTTATATAGGGATATATGTGGGGTTTAGGGGTCCCCAAAATTAGGGGTACCTTCTTGGGGAAATATAGGAATCATATAGGGGTCATATTGGGATATGTAGGGATATATATAGGGCTTAGGGTGTCCCAAAATTCGGGGAAGTTTTTTGGGGTCCCTATAATGAGGATGATAGCGTTATAGCGTTTTGGGGTCTATATTGGGGTCCCCCTACTGGGAAGCTACCATGGCTTAATCATCAGGCTGGTTAATCAAGAGGCCGGGTTCAACAGCATGTTTTGTGGGTGGTCTTGTGTGCATCTGACCCTAAAGTGAGGTGGGTCGGCAGCCAGTAGAACAAAAGCATGCGTGTGCCCTTCTTTGCGCAAACAAGCTAGGAAAAAGGCCAGAATTGATGCTGAAAAGATTGCGGAGTGATGCGCAGACAGTCCGGGCTCTTGTCGGCTATGGTTGTGACAGGCTAGGCTGGTGCCCCATTTCTCGCCTATGTCCTTGGCAGGTTTCAAGAAGTGATCCAAAGTCAAGGCCGCCAAAGACAGCACAACGCTGAGCGGCGCCACGAGGCCCTGCCGACAGCATCCGACATCCGAACCACAACATGTTAAATCAAGACTCCTGACTCCTGCGCAAATTGTAGGACGGCTGGCATCCTACTGTGTTGTTAGTTTCCCGAAATAAGGGAACCCCAATATAGACCCCAAAATACTATAGTCCTTAATATGGGGACCCCCAAAATGGTACCCCTAATTTTAATAAACCCCCAAATCATTGTCTGTGTTCGGGTCCGCCTCGCGGGTG